CCTGCTGGTAATAGCTTATCTAAAGTGATCACTCTCCTTACAATAAGAAAAGGAGTACTTGTGGCACCTTACAATGTGTATGATAATCAAGTTGGGCCATTTCCAGCACAAATCCAGGTTTTCTCACCCCCCCCCCCCCCACACACACAAACCCACTCTCCTGCTGGTAATAGCTTATCTAAAGTGACCACTCTCCTTACAATGTGTATGATAATCAAGGTGAGCTATTTCCAGCACAAATCCAGGGTTTAACAAGAACGTGGGGGGGGGGGGGGAGGCGGTAGGAAAAATCAAGGGGAAATAGGTTACCTTGCATAATGACTTAGCCACTCCCAGTCTCTTTTCAAGCCTAAGTTAATTGTATCCAATTTGCAAATGAATTCCAATTCAACAGTTTCTCGCTGGAATCTGGATTTGAAGTTTTTTTGTTGTTATATAGCAACTTTCATGTCTGTAATCGCGTGACCAGAGAGATTGAAGTGTTCTTTGACTGGTTTATGAATGTTATAATTCTTGACATTGATTTGTGTCCATTTATTCTTTTACATAGAGACTGTCCAGTTTGACCAATGTACATGGCAGAGGGGCATTGCTGGCACATGATGGCATATATCACATTGGTGGATGTGCAGGTGAACGAGTCTCTGATAGGGTGGCTGATGTTATTAGGCCCTGTGATGGTGTCCCCTGAATAGATATGTGGGCACAGCTGGCAATGGGCTTTGTTGCAAGGATAGGTTCCTGGGTTAGTGGTTCTGTTGTGTGATACGTGGTTGCTGGTGAGTATTTGCTTCAGGTTGGGGGGCTGTCTGTAGGCAAGGACTGGCCTATCTCCCAAGATTTGTGAGAGTGTTGGGTCATCCTTCAGGATAGGTTGTAGATCCTTAATAATGCATTGGAGGGGTTTTAGCTGGGGGGCTGAAGGTGATGGCTAGTGGCGTTCTGTTATTTTCTTTGTTAGGCCTGTCCTGTAGTAGGTGACTTCTGGGAACTCTTCTGGTTCTATCAATCTGTATACCTTATCATACACATTGTAAGGAGAATGGTCACTTTAGATAAGCTATTACCAGCAGGAGAGTGGGTTTGTGTGTGTGTGGGGGGGGGTGAGAAAACCTGGATTTGTGCTGGAAATGGCCCAACTTGATTATCATACACACTGTAAGGAGAGTGATCACTTTAGATAAGCTATTACCAGCAGGAGAGTGGGGTGGGAGGAGGTATTTTTTCATGCTTTATGTGTATAAAGAGATCTTCTACACTTTCCACAGTATGCATCCGATGAAGTGAGCTGTAGTGCACGAAAGCTTATGCTCAAATAAATTGGTTAGTCTCTAAGGTGCCACAAATACTCCTTTTCTTTTTGCAAATACAGACTAACACGGCTGTTACTCTGAAACCTTTCCTTGAAGTGTTACACTCCAAACCTTCTCCTTTGAGGGGGACTTCCAAATCCAAAGACAGGAAGCTGCAGTCCCAGGTAGACCTGTAACTTTCTTCCTCTTATACTATCATTGTTCTCCCACTACTCAAGTGCCTGAAGGGATTGCAGTTGTACAACAGGTGCAAAGGCACATTAACTCCTATGCAAATATGAACCAGGCTTAGAGGAAAATATGCTCAGGCTGCTCACTTTGCTTTGCCTCTCCTGACCCACAGGGCCACAGACCTTTGCATACAGGGCCTATGGGGTATATAGTTGAGGGGTTTTATACTGTCACCCATCACTGTAGTATCTGAATACCTATAGCATGGAAAAGCTTCTACATGCTCAGTGGGAAGCTATTATCATGAGTAATTGCATTAGAATAGCCCCTACAGAATCCAATCAAGGTCAAGGTCTCTTTATGCTAGGCATTGTAAAAATATATAATGTCTCTACTATAGGGCCTATTCTGCAGAGCTGTTGCGTCAATCAACCCATACCCACTTTCTGTGGCTTCTAATACAGCTTGGATGGCTTCTGTTTCCTTACACTTTTATTATTTAATTGGTGCATATAGGTCAAGATCTGTATCGCAGCACATCTAGGGAAAACATTAATAATTCAATGTTCTGAAGTGGAAGGACAATTTACATGATCTGAAAAAAAAAACAAAATTGGTCTTATTCCCTGTTTGCTTCTTTATGAAGAAGGCTTGACTAGGTCTGTGTTTTGCTCTTTGTTGTTTGTTTTGTTTTAAAGGGTGGGCAAGTGGTTTTGCTTAGCTTTTCCTTCAGAAGTACTAAGAGTGTGGTTAAACTTACTGGAAAACTGATTTTATTTTTGAAACTCATCTTTATATATTGCAGTGTTTCTAATGTCATGGCATTTACTCAGATAACCATGATGAAAGTACAGACCCTCTATGTAATTACCTCACTGATGAACAGCTGTGGCTTTTGATTAATAACTTGATATTTCGTACTGTACAAGTACATCCAGAATGTCCTCAACCCAACAGAAGATGTAACGAGGCCAATACTTGAGGCAAGAACTGTACTTTTCACTGGTTTAAGAAAATACTTTTGGAGACATCATGACCTCAAACATTACCAGATCTGATACTCTGGTGCTAGATAATTATGCATATGTTTACCATAAAAAATTAAGAAGCAGTTTACTAGCTGTATGTTAACACTTTAACAAACACTAAAACCCAACCCTAGAAAATTGTCCAGGAATCTGATGGTTACAAGTTGCTTTGCAAATGCGTGGAAAAACTAAAGCAATGAAAGGATTCACCATACTCCAAATCAATTTTGCCAAAAAAGTTTTTAAAATATGTATTAACGGTTTCTCATTTGTAATATTTGCTATGTGGTAGGGTTGTCATTCTTTATATGACCATGGAAACTTAAAACTAGCAGGAAAAGTGTGTGCTTCTCCTTACATTTTCTGTTTGACTAATATATATAAATAAAAGGAGACATACAGGTAAAAATGAATGCAATAGGATTATTCCTAAAAGTTACTGTGTACTTTGTAAATATTAATCTTTCCTTTTACTCATGAGGAAAACTTAATCTCAGAAAACTTAATCTCAGACTACTACAGGAAAAACAACTAGTTGGAATATGTTATGAAGTACTTTAGTAGGTCAGTTTTAGGCACATCTTATGAATTTCAGTGCTTAGGTGAACTGGGGGAAAGACAAGCCAGGCAGAATTCCCCACATGGCTCCGATAACATACTGCTGATCAGCAGGCTCAAATACCCCACTCCTTCCAGTACCATCAAATGTGAATATGGGCAAATATTCAGTGGGCATTAGCTTCAGAACACACAAACTCACCGTGAACCTAGTGATATCTGAACTGTGTACCCAAAAAAGCTGTCACCGCAAATAGCTCCTGGTAGTTAATTTTTCATTTGATATTGCTCACTATCAAACTCCTTAAAAGCAATACTGTCAAATGCTTGCCTTCAAGGCCAAAATGTGATTAGTTTCAATACTTTGAATCTGATGAGGAAAGTCCACTAGATTCTCAATAGGTGTTTTGGTGGTGTTTTGTTTTTAGTCCTGATAGTTGCTGTTTTGGGAATACTCATGCACTCTGAAGCAACATTAAACTAACAAACTCCAGTTTCAGAATTCCTCTCCTATTAATCTGTAATACTGGTGCACAAACAATGGATCTCATCCTGCACCTACTAAAGTCAGTGGAAATTTTCTATTATCTTTAGTGAGAGTAGAAGCAGACTGCTGTTCTAAGCAATAAGAAAGTTATGCTGTTAGACAATGGCATCCATGTTAATTTCAACTGCATTCCAAAAGAGAAAAAAATATTTGTGACCACTGTGATATCGCAAAAGCCTCCCTTTTCAAGCTTTACAGAGGATATTACAAAAAATCAAAATCAAAATCAAAGAAGTTTTATTTAAAATATAAATATTCCTCCGGAGATTTATTTGTTTTAATAAAAAGGGGGGAGTGTATACAAGTACTTCGGGCACCTAAAAATATCAGCTTCAGGATCGCAAATCATTACAGACCAGTGGTTTTCAAACTAGGGTCTGCAGATTATGTCTTAAGGGGTCCGCAAAAGGTGGTGGTTACCATAAAACAGTAGTTTTCAACCTGTGGTCCATGGACCCCAGGGGGGGTACAGACTATGTCTAAGATTTCCCAAAGGGTCTGCATCTCCATTTGAAATATTTTAGGGGTCTGCAAAGGAAAAGAGTGTGAAAACCACTGTGACAGACTAATCCTGTCCCCAAATTGCATCAGGCTGCAGCCCCACTGCCCATCATTGCCCAAGCCAGGGGGCCTCTCTGGGAGTCCATTCGTTGGCATGACAAGCTCTACAGAAAGCGGAGCAAAGCACAGAGAGAGGGGAGCAGCAAGCAGCGGCCCCAGGTAAAGTTCTGCACCAGAGCTGGAAGCTGTATACCCTGGGTCTACTGAACCACAGAGTTAGAAGGCACCGCAAGGGTCATCTAGTCTCAGCCCCTGCCAAGATGCGGGATTTGATGTGCCTAAAGCATTGAGCGTGCTCCAACCAGGACGGGGAAGGTGCGGTCTCCCGCCTCGGAAGAAGGGAAGGATGTGCGGAAGGCTCCAACATAGGGGAGAAGGAGGTGGCTCCCTACTGGGGCGCGTGGGCCTTCCAGCGGCCCCTAAACTGCCTAAAGCACCGCCGCCAACGCCTTATTCCCCGTCCGTGGGACTCTCTCTGCCCAGGCTTGGGGGAATCCCCCGCTGCTGCCGGTGCTTCAGGGCCCCAGCGTCGCCACAAGCCCCCGGCAGGGCAGCCACGGCTCCCCCGGCTCGCTCTGACCGCCCAGCGCCCCAGCCTCCTCCCACGCCCAGCCGCCGGCGGCACCGTTAGGTCCCAGGCCAGGCACTGTACTCCGCCAGCCGGGGGAGGCAGAGATCAGGGCTGGCTTTGGAGCAGCGTTGCCCGCGGGGAAGCCCCTGTGAGCGCCTGGCTCTGGGGTGGGGCCGCAGCCAGCCTGAGCCCGGGCGGGGACACATGGAGGACAAACAGCAGCGCCCATCCCCGCGGCTGCAGGCACCTACCATCCGTGGCCAGCGCCATCTCTATGAGGGTCTCGTTGTCCTTCCTCCCCAGCCTGTTCATGGCTGCTCCGCTCACCGGGCCCTGCGCTAGACTGAGACCCAGCCGCCTCGGTGCTGGAGCAAGGCGGCGGCGGCAGCACCCCCCCCCCTTCCTTCCCACTTCCACTCCTCCCTGTCCCCTCCCCTCGCCGGCTGCTCCTGCTCCTGCTCCGGGAGCACGCCGGGATTCCGCGCCCGCCCGGGTTTCGAGTTACGCTGTCAGCTGGGAGGGGGGCGCGGGCTGAGTCAGGGTCTGACCCGGGGCTGGGCTTGGGTTACCGGGCCGTAGGCGGCCTGCGCATTTCTCCCAGCTCCAGCTGGAGCGGGAGGGGGCGGCAGCGGCGCTTGTGCCAGCAATGATGCATGCTGCTGGTGATGCAGCCGGGATGCCCCTCCTTGCCTACACGCGGGCTCTTAATCACATGCATCTGCTGTTTCCGCCCCAGAAGGCGGTGTAGCGGCAGAATACGGCTGGCTTTTTTCTTGGGCCAAAATCTCTGGGTCGAGCTTCATTTTAGCAGAGACAACGTGTCCTGAAATGTTAGTACCTAGAAAAGTAAAAGGTGCATGGAGTGCTACAGAGTTATCGAAAGCGGCCCTTGTGCACTACAACGGCTCAAAGAGAAAGCAAACTAGCCAGTGAACAGGAAAGACATGTAGCGAGACCATTTCAGGTGATTCTCCTTTGAAAGACGCCGAAGAGGGAAGTGGAGAAGGAAAGCCCTTTCAGCTTGAGTTTGTGCTGTGTAAAGCCCTGTGTGGAAGAACGTTCAGAAATATTGATAGGAGAAGTAGACAAATAAGTATTCAAGGTTGGCATTCTTGGCTGAGCAGGAGAATATGGGGGCCATTAAATCAAAGAATAGAGTAGATTAATACAGATCTTTCTCTGTTTTTCTCTATCATACCATAGTGCTGCCCGAAAGTTGGCATCATACACCAGCTGTTACAGTTTGGTTTAGTCCCTTAGAGTGAATTTCCCCTTAGGGAGAATGAACACTATTGTAGGATTAAGCATGTGGAATATGTTTAGGATTAAACATTTATTATTCTTGGCTGCACCTATTAAAGAGGAGCAGACAACCAGACAGGGAAACCCTGTAACCTGCATGACTGTCATGCCTCTGAGTAATGTATATATGGTATTTGGGTTATTTTTTTTATGCCAGATACTTCCTGTACCAGGCGATCTTGCAAATGGACTAACATGGAGTTTGACTGGAAGCTAATAAAGGACTAAACCCTGTATCGTGCAGTGTCTGCCCTCATCCTTATCCAAAGGATCTAGACCAGTGGCTCTCAAACCTTTTCAGACTACTGTACCCTTTCAGGAGTCTGATTTGTCTTGCGTACCCCCAACTTTCACCTCACTTAAAAACTACTTGCTTACAAAATCAGACATACAAATACAAAAGTGTCACAGCACACTTACAGAAAAATTGCTTACTTTCTCATTTTTATCATGCAATTATAAAATAAATCAATTGGAATATAAATATTGTACTTACATTTCAGTGTACAGTATATAGAGCAGTATAAACAAGTCATTGTATGAAATTTTAGTTTGTACTGGCTTTGCTAGTGTTTTTTGTGTAGCCTGTTGTAAAACTAAGCAACTATCTAGATGAGTTGATGTACCCTCTGGAAGACCACTAATTATCCCCAGGGGTACACATTCCTGGTTGAGAACCACTGATCTAGACCAAGCAGAGCTAGTAGGAATGACTGAGAAGTAATTGCCCCTGAAAGAAATAGTGGTCTGACAGTGGGAGAAGCTTTTTGGTTTTGCTTATAAAGGCATAACAGGATCTAATGGCTGGAAGTTGAAGTTAGATAAATTCAACCTTGAAATAAACTGAAATAGCAGTGAGGGTGACTAAACCTTGGAGCTGCTTACCAGGGGAGGGTGTGGACCCACCATTGCTGGAGTGTTTATGATTAAAGTCAATATCCTTCTAAAAAAGATGTGCTTAACTCCAGTTTCTGGGAGAAATTCTACAGCAAGAGGTCAGGCTGGATGGTTGTGGCCTTGGAGTCTTCTGGCCTGGGAGTCTGAGCACCTGTGAATCTATGATTTCCTCCTCTCATGGGCCATGGGGAGAATACAATTGCCTGCATTGCCCTCAACATGTACATAGCACTTGCAGTTCTGGTCATCAGATTTGGAGGTGGGAAGAAATATTCTCTCAGGTCAGATTGTCAGGGACCTTAGTGGGATTTCACCTTCCTCTGCATGAAATGTGGATCACTTGCTAGGTTCTAGGATCATCACGGCATATCTCTCCTAATCAGTTCCCTACCATTGCAGGGGCCTTCAGCATTGGTGTCCCCGTGATCTCTCTTGTTCTCATCCTGTGTCACACAACAGTTTAGACTCTCGAGGACTGAAATACTTTGGTCTGACCCAAATTATTGGACTCAGTATATAAGGGTAACAGATGAAATGTAATGGTCTATGATATACAGAAAGTCAGACTAGATGTCCTAATGGCCCCTTCTGGCCTCAAATGCTATGAAAATATGAATGGAAGGATGGGACTGCATGGAAGAAAAAGTCTGAGATTATTTGTGACTGTTACAAGATGACTAATTAAATAAATTGAGATGCCTGTTTGGAATGGAGTGGTCCAGTAAAATTGTTTTAAGAGGGCAATGCCAAGAAGCTAATCTATAACTCAGTAACTCTGAAAGTCAGGTGCAATTGGGAGGTATTTATAAGATACACACAAAGTTTTATCTATATGTATTTATTATATGTCTCATAGACTACAATTGGGTACATAATGAAATGTCAAAATATAATACTACCAACTTCAAACAAAGCCTAGAGCAGATAAAGATGTATCCAGAAGAAAGACTTCATGAACATCAGACTTCATTAGCTCTATTTTGCTTCAAGAAGGGAAAGGAAGTGAAATATTTCTTTACATTTTGGCTAAAAAATTCTTCCATTAATCCATTTTTAATGTTTCAGTAAATTACTTTAAACCATTACTGCATTTGAAGTAACCACAAAGTTATTTTTTTACCCTAGCCATTCAGTTCTACACATTCACTGGACCATTCACTGGAACACTCTAAAGTCAATGTGGATAACATCAAAAAGAATAATTATTTTTAGTGGGGGAACTGTGGGATGTATTATCATGTGGAATGCATTCTGTTTGATTGCACTACAAATCTTTTTAGTCAGTTTTGATAGTTCCTATATAATCTTTACTGTAGGTGCTGCATTAGATAAAGGCATTGTATAGTAAGAAGCAAAATCACATTTCCCTTCCCCCATCCTCAGACTCCACTACTGCCCAATTCATTTCAGGATTCAGCTCAAAATTGCTTGCTTGTTCTTGAAGTCCTTCAAAAATTTGACCTATATTGATTTCAATGGGAGCTAGGTGCCTAACCAGCTTAGATGCTTTGGAAATCCTGGTGGTTGCCTATCTGCATCTTTAGGCATCTAAATACCTTTGAAAATTGGCCTTAAATGCTTAAGGCCATGGCTACACTAGAAAGCTTATAGTGGCGCAGTTGCATCGATGCTCTCCTGTCATCTTAGTTAATCCACCCCCAAAGAGTGGTGGTAGCTATGTTGGCAGGAGAAGCTATCCTGCCTACATAGCATTGTCCATACCAGCACTTAGGTTGGTGTAACTTATGTCACTTGGGGGTGGCTTATTCACACCCCTGAGTGACATAAGTTATACCAACATAAGTGGTAGTGTAGACATAGCCTAAGTCGTTTATGAAAATGGGAGTTAGGCTCCTAAGTCATTGAAGTGCTTTTGAAAATTGACTCCAGTCTCTTGTTATTCATGTCTCTCTCCCACCCATATAACATTACCCATCTCTTTTGTGTCTCTGTATACTTTCTCTGCACTTCTGTTTTCTAGAACAGGCTTCCTATATTTTTGTCCTCAGTGAATCCATCCCTTTTCAAATCTGATCTGAAAAATTTATGCTCTTTCTTCTCTTGCTCAGACCTCTTAATTTTTCTCCCTTCTTCCCTTATTTAATCTCTATTGTGGGTCATAAATGTTCTAATTAAAAATGGACGTCATAGTATGGCTCAGTATTACTGAACTTCGGTCTTGTTTGTACAGCGTGATAAAGCGCATTAGGGAGTGTGATTTGTAGAGCGCTCTAATGTGCTGCGCTCTAACTGTCCTGCGCAGAGCTTGCTGGTGTGAACTAAAAGGTACCAAGTTTATGCCAGTTTAGCTCATGCCAGCAGAGTCAATTAGAGCACAGCACATTAGCGTGCTCTATAAATCACACCCCTCTAATGTGCTTTATTGCACCATGTAGACATCTGTTTACAGCTTCCAGTGAAGGATGCCATGCAAAATAAGGGCTCAAAACTAGAAATGCTACTGAGCACACTACTTAGACTGTAAGCTCATTGCAACAGGGGCTGTCTTTTATTTTAAGCTTATATGCTGCCTGACACAATTGGGCCCTGACTGGGGCCTCACAGGACTAGCACAATACAAATAATAATAATAATTAATAATTAATTAATGTGGTGATAAATTCAGGGGGACACCTCTTCATGTAGTAAGCACTATGTACCTAATTCAGCAAAGCATATAAGTATGTGTCCAACTTTAAGCACATGTAGTTCCCCTGACGGGCCTATTCATGTGCTTAAAGTTGCCTAAGTACTTTGCTCGCTCGTGGTGAGTTGAGGAAGGCAATTAAACTGCAAGTTACTGCCTACAATTCACTGACTCAAAATATTTTCTTTAAAAAGACACATTTTCTTTAAGCCTTTAATTTAATCACAATTTCAAATACAGGGGACATGTTTTAGGTACACAGGGGGTACAATTATAATGCTAAGATTCAGCAAGAGCAAGGGATGGCAAGAATACCAGTGGTTACAACTAGGTTGCTGGTCTTCTAATTATCTGCTGTCTCCTCCCTCCTCCGCCCAACATGTGCTGCAAGTTGTTCTGTATTATATCCACATGTTATTATACAGCTCTAAACACTGTATCTGGAATTCCAAGAATAAACCTCTGTAATTGAACTTGTTTGTGATTTCTTGAGGTATGGGGCCAGATCATGTAAATTACACAGTGTCCCATGCTGGAGGCAGAGAGCCGTACCATCCAAGAGTATCTCCCAGAGCACTGGAAAGTGTGCATGCTGTACCAGCCCTTAAAATTACATTCCCTGCCCATCTCTCCATAGCCAGGCAGTTCCACAGACCAGTATGTGGGGAGGATGGAGCATCCTTCAGCCCCACAATAGGCGTGATTCACTCCCCCATTATTATGAAGAGGAAGGAATCCCTGTGCTCCCCAGTCTCTTAAAAGAGGCTGTAGTCCTTTATTCTTTGAAATTGGTGGGATTTAATTGAAACATTTTTAGCTGATATATTTGTTTTATGTAAGTATTTATGTTTTAGAATGGAAATAAGTAGAAAATC